GTTTGCAATGTTTAAAACACTGTGTGTGCCAACTCTGGAATGAATGCCTTACCTTATAGGCATACCGAAGCCTTCGTCTGTCTTTTGTCGGCAGGCCCTCCACGGGCACGTCGAATTTGGTGGCGAGATGACAGGCCGAACCGACCAGAAACAACTGGCGCAAACTCTCCACTTGTGCTGGGGTCGGTTTGGGAAGTGCTGGATCGACGGTCAAATTGAGATCAGGAACATTCGCGTTTACTAGAATGAACACAGACAGTTAACCAGTAACATCATTATCACCACCACAGACAAAGCCAGTGTTAGGAAGAGCAGGTAAACACCTACGAATGTCGGTGAGCTGTCGTCTCAGCTGCCGAATCTCCACGTAGGCCTTCCAACGAATGCCGCAGTTCTGCGCCAGCTGACGCATTGTTGACTCCGGATTGAGGCGGGAGACGCGATTGGTGGAGACGAGGTGACCCAGCTGTGAATCTTCCATTGGCAGGACGCCGGCCAACTGGGCCCAGTACCGCTCAAGACAACAGACAGAGCCCAGGAGCACCGCCAGATCGCCCAATAGGATGTCACCTTGCTAAAATAAAAAATAACGAGAAACATTCATCAGGCTACTCATGTCCCAGCTGCACGGAAATCCTAAGTAGTTACCTGATATTATGCTACTTGTAAGAAGAGAGTATGCATTTATGTTTACTCTTTTAGACCAAAAGACATATACCAACCGTTTTCACAAACTGCCGCTGGAAGTTGGTACGCTGATCCATGATTCGTTCGGCCTCGGTTTTCTGCCGTCGTCGTCGCTTTGCACCAACCACATTTGGGTCCTCCTCGTCTGCCTTCTCTTCCTCCTGCTCTTCCACGGGCTCAGGCATAAAGAAGTCGGAGACGGAGAGGGCAGCCACAAGGATCACCGCGTAGGGCATGAGATCGTGCTGATTGGCAAACAGCAGCATACGTGCCAGCCGTACAGGCAGTGGAAGACGTGCCATCCACCGACCGGCACGAGTAATCACACGCACCGGCTCTGAAAGACCAAAAGAACAGGTTTAGTGACGACAGGAATGACTGCAGGATGACTTTTGACAATAGGGTGAGTAAGCAACAATAGAC